GTCCCCTCCAAAACCCATGCTGAAATTCAATTGCCATTGTGATGGTACTGAGAGGTCATGGAGGCTCTGCCCTCCTAAATGGCCATCACCACAGGAGTGGGGTGGCCCCCTCTGGTTCAAGATCTCTCCCTTTCTCCTGCCCTTCCACCATGTGATGACACAGCAAGAAGGCCCTTGCCAGATGCTGGCCCTGCAATCTTGGGACTTCCCAGCCTCCAGAACTGTGAGCCAATAAATTTCTGTTCATTATATATTACCCAGTCTGTGGTACTCTGTTACCACAGCACAAAATGGATTAAGACAAATGGATAGAAGGATGGAAATATGTGATAAAGTAATTATAGTGAAACGCCAATGCTAAGATCTGGGTGATGGCAAAGGAGCATTCACTGTGAAATTCTTTCATCTGTTGTTGTATATTTGAAATTTTTCGTGATAAAATGCTGCGGTGAAAACATTTACGTTATCGTAAGCACTGCTAGTACCCAGATATGGCAAATATTAAGACTGTACACTAAATTATTTGGAAATATTAACCTAGAAAATGGTTTTATAGCAAAAATGCAAGATAAGCTCCCAACAGGCAACCTAAAAGCTCATGAAACAAATTGTTTAGAATTGGACTGGATCTCTTGCAGCATTAAGTCATCAGAAAGGCATTGTGAAATGTGTACTTAGAAATGTTTACTTACAATTTGTAACATTTGGGGCTGTCTCGGGTATGAATTGAAAACCCTTCACTCAATCGAGTGTCAGAAGCGACAATTGAGAAATCTTCTCCAGCAATTGCCAATACAGTACTGTGGAAAACAGAAAGAAAAAAATTAATTCTTCAGGAAGGCAATCCTCTCCCTCCAAACAAAAGAATGCTGCAGAGAAAACACTAGGATGAAATACACTCAATATGAACAGGAACAGGATTCAAACGGAGAGGAAGGACCCTGGCCACAAGTCATCCGGAAAAAAACAGCCTAAATCAGGGCAAAGGCTCCTTGCCAGGGGAAAATTGAAAAGCCACTGAATTATCATCAAAAAATTAAATGCTTACTTGTGCCAAGTTCTGATAATACAGAACCATGTCTGTGTCCTTGAGGACCAGGTATAGACAGTCAGTGGTACAAGGAAAGCTACATGAGTTAGAAAAGAGTTTAGTTTTTTTTTTCATTTCTTTATATGGAAGTCCTTGTATAATGTCTAGCATTCAAGTATCTGTTGACAAGTGAACAAAGAGCAAACTTTTCCCTGTGTGACTGTATAATTTATGAGCACTCACTGAAGAGGCTCACAGCATGAACTCCAAAAGCAGACTGTCTGGGTTCTAATTCTGGCTCTCCCACTTAGCAGGTATGAGGCTGCGGGTAACCTACTTCTCAAGGCCTCAATTTCCTTATATCCGAGATCTTAGCAGCAGCCACCCCGTTAGGGTGTTACAAGGATTAAATGAGTAAAGCCCTTCTATCGGCGCCTGGCATATAACTGGTCCTCTAGTAACTGTTAGCTATTATTGTTGTGGCGTTACAGTGTGATGACTAAGCACCTGGGCTCGGGAATTA